AGACCTTTTTCCAATAGACGAGTTTCATGTTCTGTGAAACTAGTGCTCGTAAGATTGAGAAATTTGTCAAAAAACTTATGTTACGAAAATAGTTCACTGTTTTTGGTCTTTTCCTTTTTCTTCGGAGGTCTGATCATAATTAAAACATCTAATTTATTTATTTATGTATAATACCAATAACTTTATCACGAATATCCGAGTCCGGGATTTCACCAAATGAACTGTATTGATGACCTTTAATATGGATTTTCATCAAGTGTCGGCCAGTTTCTATTGTTGGAAAACAACCACGACTAAGACGTACTACATACAGAAAAAAAAGGAAAAAAATTAAACCTGCTGGAATCCCTGGAAATTAATAAACGTAAATAATTTAATTTTCTATTAAAAAAGACCCTTCTTGAATTTTTTTCATGAAAAATTTACTAGAAAAAGCCAAATTTCAAATGAAAAAAAAAACAACGACATTTGTAGTGGTTGAATTGGCTGAGAGATACAGCCAATTCAATACTCTCCGTATTTATATAACAGTTGTTTTCAGTATATCCCGACACATACTGCACCATAAATTGTTAGCAAGTGTTATTTATCTATATTGGTAAATATCACGACCAGAATATCATATGAATTCTATAATGTAATGAATTGATGGGTTTGATTCAATTTGAATAATATTTTCTGCTTTCTTCAGTTTTGGCTGGACATATTCCTTAGCGGGTTCATTATATTTAATGCGTCATTATTGTATGGTCGGTCCCTACATTTGTTCAAACACCACCAAACTATTCCTAATCTTGGCCGAGTTATAGCTCTTTAAATTTTCATCATGGCCATCTTGTTTTCTGCCGTGACTGGCGCCAATTTATTTTTCGTATTCTTTTCAGCAAACCCATTTGATATCCACATCATGAGAATGGATAAAAAGTAGTAGATTCGATGTAGATGTTAGATTTGACACGAGCAAACTTCAGATTTATAAGCTTAAGTGTCCGAAGTGTAATAGTGTTGATGTGGGATAATGTGGTCGAAATTTCTTAAAACGGTTTGCTGAACATGGAAGGTCCTTCAGACTAGGTGAAAATGATTAGACGTTTTCAAACCATTCCTTGGAATGCAACCAAAATTTTCCAAATCCAAACGATACAGAAATTTTGCATAATGCAAGCAAAAGTTGGAAACTCAATTATTTAGAATCCATGAAAATTCATATGAATAAGCATTGCTAAATGATCAAATCGATCAAGTTTACTCACCAGTTTTCAAATTAGCGTATCCACATTGCCACAGGTGAACAAATTTCAGGTACTCAAATAAGTTAAGGAGCTCTAGTTAGACCAACAGTAGATATATAGGGGCTAACATTATCAATTATTTTCAGTTTATTGTAATTGTTTGAAAATGTCCTTATAGGACGAAACTGCAGTAACATTAGTTATCGATAAAAGTGGTAAACACACAGAAAGTTTTATTTCTCATTTTTCATGATGATCTCACTACTATATAGTAACGGCTACATTCATCAATGTATTTTTTTTTGTTGAAATTGTTGGAAGTGGTCTCAAAGAAGTAATGCGTTGAATTAGACAGGACAGCATTTCTTCGTAATTCATCACGTGATCTGTTTCTACCAGAACATTCTGCAAATGAGGATTTCTTCGAATGTTTGAGGCTGCAGCTAACCCTGTGGTCTTGTATACTGGTATTGATGCTGTGTTTGGCAATTCCGATGTAAACCGATCCACAAGAACAAGGAATGAATAAACACTGGCGGATGTCAGAGGCACTCCCTTATTTTTGGCCGATCTGAGTGTTGGATAGGTAGTTGACTAGTTGGCTTGTAAATGATTTTAATGTTGTGACGTTTGAACAGTTTTTCGTATTCTAGTCTCTAGAGCACGTTTGATTTCTTGTGCTGTAAAATAATTGGCATGAAAAACCTAGGTCTAGATGATGGAAGTTCTCTTTCGAAAAAATCAGTAAAATATCAGTAAAAAATTGGCATGAAAAACCTAGGTCTAGATGACGGAAGTTCTCTTTCGAAAAAATCAGTAGGTTTGCGATAAATTGTGTGACATAGTTTTCCATCAGTATTTCTGTTGACCTGTACATTCTAAAAATAGTATCTTTCATTCTTTTTCCATTTCCATGGTGAACTGGATGCGCTGATGAATGGAGTTGATGTAGCGTAAGAACTGTTCCAATATTTGTTCCCCGTAGCTCCAAGCGAAGTGTTATCAAAATAGCGGAACAAACGGGTTGATTTTGATAAAGCGGTGCTGAGAGCTCTCTTCTCGAAAATTTACAACCACAGGGCTGAGAGGACTTCCCATAGCGACCCCATCCATTTGTTCAGAGAAACAGTTATTCCATTGGAAATATGTAGAGGTGAGAACATGGTCAAAAAGAGCTGTGATATTCCCTGAGAAAGTTAGTTTGATATTCTTCTTGTCTGGTACCACGTTGAAGAGAAAAACGACATCGAAAATAGCCAGAATATCATTCAGCTGCAGGACCAAAGTACTTGTTGGCGCTTATCTCAAGTTGGAATTGGAAAATATTCGTTAGGCTGGTTGGTTTTCCTAATTATCTTGGATGGAAGTTCACGCTTGTACGTCTTCTAGGTTGCAGGGCGGCTTGGCGTACTGAAGGATGTGCACAGATTCCCAGCAAAGCTAGTTCAGTGCGTTCAGAGTCTCGGCAACGAAGTATAAATATAGTGAACATAGCAAATTAGCTTTCTTAATTCGACTGAATTCCAGTATACTGTTGAGGCGTTGAACGGCGGTATACGGTCGTTTGTCCCGTGAGCGTTGTTAAAAATGTAGGGGTCGGTAAATTTGGTGTTTACGAACAAACATATGTACAGAGAGGTTACATGAATTTCAAAACAATTAGTCTCATTGTCTTATATTATAAAAAAAATACACTAGTGCTGAGTCCTTTCGCAATTCTTGTTCTACATTCAGCTACCATCTTTCTTGACATATTGAAAAACAGATATCCGTCATCCTCGTATAAGTGAAAAAATAATATTTTGCAGCGACGTTTATACTTTGAATTTGATGTTCAAACATTTACTCTCCCCCTCCTCATCGAACTGCTCTATATCGTCATTTTTCAGTTTCAACACGTATTATTTTTATATATTCCACACAAATATAAACAGTATGATTTTTTCATTTAAATGCCAATACAAAAAAAATCTTGTCTATGTAAGTCAGTAAGTCATTGATTTCATTGATAATATTTATCTTCAAAATATTCTTAATGAGTAGGTGGCATATTCATCTCTCGTTTTATTTCTTCAACTGATGTTGAAACTATAAAATCAACAATAACCCTCACCGGTACATTATATTTCTAATCTCGGTTATAGTTTAACGTCAAAATAATTTACAGATTTATTTTTAAATGAATTATTGTTTATGTGATGTAATTATTAATTGCTACAAATTTGTTTCCAAATCATTCTTATGAAAGAAATTGGCATTATCGAGTTTAAAGTATAGTAACTCACATGAACATTAGAAAATAATAATGATAATAATAAAACGTCTTTATTCACCTGAAGTAAGAACATAACAGAATATACAAAAAATATTGAGGTGAATGGGCGGAGTGTCAGCAAAGCTGTTTTTAAACTCAACCTTCGAGAAAAAAAAAAGAAGTTTGAAAAGAAATAAAGAAAATTACAGTACATACATAAATGATTATTATTCAGTCACCAAATCTTTTGTGTAAACGCATGAGCCACGGTTAGCATGAGTAAAGTGAACTACTCAAATAAATGCTCTTTGAGTTTTTTTTTCAAGTTTTTCAACGTGTAGGATCTGAATTCACTGTGCAGGAAATTGTAGAGTTTAGCTGCGTTTTATGAGAAACTGCGAGTAAAAACAGAAGACCTGTGTTCAGGAATGACCAGCATCGACCTGTTTCTAGGGGAGAAGCTGTTGATATTTGAGAAATAATTCAATTTTTTCATTAAATAATGTGGCATTCCAGTCTTCAAGACTTTGTGGGTGTTTGTGAGGAGGTGCAGTGTCCTGAGTTGCAGCCAACCTGATTCCTTTATGACCGGTGATATGTGGTCGTATTTTCGAATGCCAAAAGGAAAACGAAGGCAACTGTTTTGGATTCGTTGAAAACGGAGGGAATCAGATAATTTTAGTTCAAGTTGTTTGGTGAGTAAGTCCCGATTTGGAAATACGTTTGAATCAAATGGCTAACGTGTTTTGTAAAGCGCAGTTCAGAATCAAACTACAGGCGTAAGTTCTTTGCTTCAGTTACAAAAGACAGAACGTCACCATTTATATGAATATCAAGATTATTGTTAGCAATATCTCGCAATCTTTTCGGTCCAAAGATCATTACTGCCGACTTTTTGGAGTTTAACTTCAATTTATGAGCTGATGAAATATCAAGGATGGCCTGTAGATCACGATTAATGAAGTTTTGAACGGATTCAATGTCAGGGAACTGAAAAGAGAAGTATTGTTGTGATCATCTGCGTAATAATGAATGTTGCATTTTTCTACCGACTGATGGAAGTCACAAATATATAAGATGAACCAAGGACCAAAGATGGATCCTTGAGGAACTTTATTTCCAGATAGGCAAGCCTAATATAAACATAATTAATGTACTTTGTCTAAACATGATACATAATACTTTAATGTGACAATCAAATAATAAACTGTATTATTATTTTTTTAAGTATTTATTTTTCGAACTTCTTAACAGTAATTTACATTTTTAGCACTTTTTGATGCAATATTTATTATATAAGGATTTTAATGAAAACATATAATGATAATCATAATACAAATGTCCTCTTAATTAATCAAACTCATCAATTACTTCACGAAAAACTTGAAAGGACGATCTCATCTTCAATCACGTAAAAAATGTTTTGTAAATTCATCGCATTATTTATTCAAATGTAGCAGAATATTAATGTGCGATCTATATTGGTAAGTTCTATAACGAGTTGAAATTGTCCTTCGTTCAATAAAAGATATAAAAGTCCAGATTCTCAGGACTGAGCATCACTTCTTACAAGTGCTTCACTAGAAGAACACATACACATGATGAAGACATATTTGGTAAGTGACAATCAATGAATCCAATCAATTAATGCTTTTGAAATTCAGTATCATATGAAATAATACTATAAAATGCATAAATTGAGATCTGTGGGAAATATTAAAAAAATATCTATTATGAAACTGAAGTACTAATTAGGTATTCTTGTCTATTATAAAAAATACAAAATGGTCACACTCAATATCTTAGATCTTAAGTCAGACCACTTTGCACATATTTTAATGGGAAGGATATATTTTTGACAGAACATAGTTGAAAATAGGAAGTCGAAAAAAAAATAAATGAATATCAATTAAATTGGTGAAAATTCATTCGTTTTGTACTTGTAACAAAAAATGAGCAATACCCCATATTTTCAGAGAGTACTCTTGAACAGATATTCACGTGTGTACGAAAATGTAGGACGTTCTATTTGAAAAAATCCAGAAAATGATGTTCTCAAGTTTTGATTCAGCCAATATAAGGTTTCGAAAAAATCATTTTGAGTTAAGCTTTCACTCGGTACCTTATGAATTGAAGAATAGTTCAATGAACCCTTTTATATTGATATTAAAATACACGAAACATTTTTTGATTACTACACGTAACACTTCTATTATAATCCTGATGTGTCCTAAACAGTATCTACTGTATAGTTCGAAACAAAACAACCACAGCAAAAAAAACACATTAACACACCGATTTGACCACTTGTTTGAAAACTCATCCACAGAATGAAATTTCTTACCCATCAGATACTCACGTAATGATTCCTTCAATTTTTCTCTATTCGTATATAATAAAAACAGGTTGATGAATTTGTTATGAAACTTGTGTGTATACATAGTTATATGTAACAATTATGCTGATTTAAGGAAAATTGGGTAAACAATGTATTATCTTCAAAAGTTCCTTTAAACGAAAAGTTGAATAGTAAAAACTGGTTTATTTTGTAGATAGGTTCACTTTCTCCAATCAACGTTTTTATAATAGCATAAGTATTACATAGAACTGTATAATAGTAGATAACTATATTGCATTTGTCTAAGAATATCCGCTTCAGATAGTTAATTAGTAATTATTTAAATAGTGGAGATGCACATTTCAATATCTCAATATCATCTTATTTCTTTTAAAACTTTCTTTTTCGTTACTGATAATTTCCGTTTATCGGAAAATGTTGAAATTCGTTATTAACTACACCTATATAATAGAATATCATTGTTTCAGTGTATTACTCTTCTGGTTATTGGCGTAGCTGCGTCTTCTTCCAATAAAAAAGAAGAAAAAACCAAGAGGAGTTTACTTTCAGGAATAACTTCGTATCCCTCTCTGAACGTTTATAACTCTTTGGGATCTGCTAGTTTCTCATCCGATGCTGGATTAGACTCTATCGCACATGGAAGCGGATTGGGTCTCTCATCCGGTAGTGGTTTGGGTTACACCACTTACGGAAGTGGACTAGGATACGGCAGTTACGGAAGCGGACTAGGATACGGCAGTTACGGAAGCGGATTAGGATATAGTTCTTATGCAGGTGGATTAGGTTATTCTTCTGGAAATAGCTTAGCACTCAGTGCTTTAGGAAACGGATTGGGATATTCTTCTGGAAGTGGATTAGGTTACAGTACTTATGGAAGTGGATTAGGATACGCATCTGGAAGCGGACTAGGATATGGTTATGGTCAAGCGGGCATCCCAATTGTTGGAGCTGCTGTTAGCCAAGAAGTTGCCAAGCACACGGTGCACAATGTTGTCAACAGAATCCCAGTAGCATATCCACAGCCATACCCAGTTCCAGTCACTAAGACAGTACCGGTACCTCAACCTTATCCCGTAAGAGTTGACAGGCCAGTACCAGTCCAGGTGCGTGTAAATGTTCCAGTTCCAGTTGAAAAACCTTATCCAGTGGCAGTTCCACATGCAGTCCCATATCAAGTGAAAGTTAGTGTACCATATCCAGTCGAAAAACCTTATCCAGTTACCGTCACCAGAACGGTTCCAGTTCGTGTAGAAAAACCAGTATACGTGAAAGTACCTGAACCTGTTCAAGTTCCAGTTGCCAAACCCTACCCCGTTCCTGTACACAAACCTGTTCCTGTGAGCGTTCCCGAACCAGTTGTTGTTAAAGTACCAGAAGTCATCAATATCCAACATGCTGTCCATACAGCCAAAGTTGTTACTCCAGTTGTGAGTCATCGAGTACATCATGTCAGTACCCCAATTGTATCCGGAATCGGAAGTGCTAGTTTAAGCTCAGGTGTTTTGGCCACAAGCGGTTTGAGTTCCGGTGTTTTGGCTTCCAGTGGTGGCTCAGCAGTACTGGATGCCAGCAGTCTGACTTCTGGTGACTACTCAGGGTTCAGCTCAGGAGTTTTAGGCTCAAGCAGATTCAGTTCAGATATTGTCAATGCTGATTTGAACAGCGCCAGCGGTTTGGTAGTTTCCGATGCAGGTTCTTGGAGTTCAGGTGGATTAGGCTCAGGTTCTTGGAGTTCTGGTGGATTAGGTTCAGGTTCTTGGAGTTCAGGTGGATTAGGCTCAGGTTCCTGGAGTTCAAGCGGATTGGAAAGTCATAATATCATTGCCAGAGGTACCTCTAAGAAAGCAGCAAATAAACAGTAACTGTGACTAACGCGTTACGTGCTCGCAATGTCATTTTCACAGATATGTATATTTTCTTTTTCTTGTAATATAGTTTTACCATATGGACTTAATTTTATTTTTGCAAAGAAATAACAAATAATGAACATCGACAAAACTGAAATGCAAAAATGTGCAGCAAACATACTATGAAGTAATTTGGGGGGTCCAAATTCCGAAATAGAACTCATTTTCATGTTATAATTTATTGAACAATATTTATTGACAAAATTCCGTTAATAGAAATAGAAAAATAAAAAAAAATCACCTTCAGAAGTGCTGCTTTGTTCCCTCCTGTTCATAAAAGAGGACATATGCCTCCTCACTCACAAGCGATTTTGGTGAAATTGGGGACACGTGTGAATCGTTGTATTCATGCCATGTGCCACTATGAGGATGTCTGCAATATACTGTGTAATGCCCGTTGTAAGTAGTCCCAATGTGATTCGAAAGTGCATACAGATTATAACGACACGGAGCCACATGGTCTGCTGCATAATCGCTAATATCTAATCCTTCTAAAGGAAAGTCAATGCCAATAATCAATTTGCATCTGAATCTTTACGTTGGAGAGAATATTTTTAAATTAGTTTCTAAAATACGGGGAAACTAATGGATTGATAGGGACTTTGTGCATTTTCTTCTTGCACCTCGAACACGTTGGACTTTCATCTCCATCCAGAGTTTTATCTCTTGTGAAGGAATCCAAGCATTGTGATAAACTCAATTGGCCAGTTCATTGTGATATGGATAGAGATACAAATCCCAAATAGGATCGATGGTTACTGATGAGTGTCCACAGTGTGTGCACTTCACAGTGCATTTTAAATTGATCAACGAAATTCTCTAAAATCTTAGAGTTGTTCATGTCAAATATCTCAGCCAGGACTCTTGCGCTTTTCCGCTGTCGCTCAATTTTTCGTCAATCTCCGTTAAGATCGGTTTAGGTTTCTCCGTAATTCACTCAAGGTCCTCTTGAAAACCTTTTAAAAGATATCGAAGGAATTCCTGGACGTCTTGATGGGCAGATCCCATGAATCGAGGGGCAAATTTTTGAAACTGACTTTCAAAGTAGGCAATGTTTATTACGCTATCAAACGAATCTTCTGACCGCAATTCCTTGGTAACTTCTGCGATCGCTTTGATTAAAGCATCTTTCATACTAGAAATACTAGTATTGATATCTTAAAAGTATGTATCATTTTTTAAATATTCCAACAACCATCTCGTGTTTGATAAACATTGTTCATGGAAACACCTGTTCGTGAAACAGGTGTTTCCAATATTTTTTCAACCCATTAAACCCAAGAGTTCTGACTGAAGAATGTATCACTGAATGTATCTGATGATGTAAGTGTTGATACCACGTTCGCCACTACTGTCTTCTTCTGATTAATCAAGGATTCAATGATTCACCCCTTCACTTCTTTTATATATCTTTGAATATCGCGAAAAATAGACAAAAGTATGTTTTTTTAGTGTATCCTCAGATTCACCCCTTCATTGGATCGGTGGGATACGGAATTTGAAGCTAAACTGCTTAAAACTGAATTGGATATGGCAGACGTTTTGAATATGGTAGAAGAAGATAATTCTAGAACTTGTTCATATTTCTCTGTATGATGGGAACTTATGGGGAGTATCACAAGAAATATGAAAGGTTTTATGAGAAATCAATCTCGATACACCGTAAAGTATTGGACAAATTTCTGGATTAACCCCCCTCCCCCCCCCAGATAATAATAAGAGGTTATAAAGATTTGTCACAGAAATAAGCAGTTTATTTCTAGAATACCAGCACTATAACTAAGAAGGTCTTGTATGTGATTTGGGCGAAAGCCATCTAGTCTTCCAGCTGATTCAGTGCAGAACGTTTTCAATGTTGCAAGTATAAGTTGTTCAGGAACTTCAAACGTTAAATTGCTTGTTTGATCAAGTGAATTGAGATGAATTTGATATCGAGTCGGCTTGAGGATGTTTAAGAATGAGCTTCGATAAAATATCATTGTTATAATCAGCGAGAGTATCATTAGAACTAAGAATCCTAATAGCAGATGAAATATCGACCACTTCAACCTTATTCAAAATGATTTCTGAGATATTTCCTTTGGATCGCTGACAGAATAACAGATGATTCGTTATTTCTCGTTTTGATGTTCTTCTTTATCAATATCGTTGGAAATATTTTTTTTCTTCTCTTTCGAATACTGTATAGGGAGAATCCGGAATGTGAAAGTAAGTAGATTTTCCCAACTGGGAAAGGAGTTCTGCATTACATATTCATCGACGACTTCAGATAAGACGGATGCTTTGCAAATTCTAGCTGATTTGGGGATACTTCTCACAATATTAGTGGAATTCTTCAAAGCAGTTAATATTTTGAACAATGATAATGTACCTTGTCCTGTTTTATTCGGGTCATTGCTGGAATTTTCAATTAACGAATTCTTCGACATCAAAATGCTATGATCTGAATTTGTCATTGACGTTTTGTGAATTTTTCCATTATGAATTTTGAGGCCGTTTTTGGATCTGAATGATTCATGGCAAGTTGTACAAACATTGTCCATGTCGTAAAATTGTTTCAGTTTATCATCACAAGCGGAATCCATTCAAACTAGTGAAAACAGGTCTATTTAGAATTGAAAACTTGGACTGGGGACATAGGAAATTATTTCACGTCGAGTAATTCTATTTATGTTTACTTCTGTACGGTGGTTCGAGTTAGTCATACCATAACATGAAAACACAAAACATGTATTTCTCCATTAGAAACGAAAAGAAAAATTTCAAACATGATCGAAACAGTTAAAATTACATTCTACTGTTATGAAATTATATCAAGCCGATAACATATTAATTAAACTTAACCACACAGCAGTTTTCTCGGTAGCACATTTAGGTGACTATATGGATGAAGCAAAGCCAGGTCTATCTATTATTTGGATAGGTAACTCATCAAATCACTACATCATTTCTTTCATCTACACAGAAAAAGCATTATGAAATTGTATAACCTGCATAAGTGGCTGATTTCAGTTTTTCTAATCACAATTGTTTGCTTTGCCTAGTTGAATGGTTGTGTAATTGACTATAATGATATATTGGAAAGATGCGTGACCAGATGAACAAAGATAGTATACAGATATGTTCTTTTACAGGCAGGAGGTTAGGGTAATTATAGCAAAATAACATTCATAATTAACTAATTAATAAAGATTTAATAACGCTAAGAATGGATTCACGCACCAGTCTGAAGTCGTATGTCACAAGTTTTGAATCTAAAGAATGTATTTGCGAAGAATAAAAACTCTAAGTCGTCTCCACAATTTATTATCTCTCTCAGATGTTAGAACGGCAAAACTACCAATCAGTACATGTTTCGAAACTATATAGGTTCATCATCAGCTAATTATTTAAAATTCTTCAATAAAAGAAGAACAACATAACAATAGTTAATACAATCAAGTATGAAATACTTACACGGAGAAAAAAATATTTCATTTTATAATGGAGAAAAGAAAATTGTCACATGTTATCAATGAACAAATGATCACAATGACATGTTAATAAAACTGAAAAAAAAATTTTTTCAAAGGTAGAAAAACGACTGGATTGGAGCCTTTATACCCACTCATTAACATCAAAATCATCAAAAGGTACATGAAAACTACTTATAATAAAAGATATCTGAACTGAATTGAATGAGAAGAATCAACTGTCGTCAAAAGTATATAAAGAGATAAAAATCGAGATGACATGGAACACCGACAAGAGATTTTCAAACACAGAACACAACAGGAGAAGGACCACCGCATACATTTCGGCTCGTGTTCTGCATGAACGGATCCCATACCATCTGTTCATGCCATCTTGTTACTAAAATAAGGGTTTATGGAAGATCCAGGGAGGAAAAATTCAGTTAAAATCAAGAGAATTGAAAAACTTTTGGAAAAACTAAGAATTTATATTGTTCATTACAACTTGTGCACACAGATATCATAATATTATATATACAGGTTGGGCCAGTGAAAACGAAACAAGCAAAATTCATCGTAAAATTCAAAAAAATTCGCTCTGACCCGTCTATTTTTATGTCGAAAGAAAAATTCATTGCGACTATTGACAATAAGTGTGAAAAACTAACCTTCAAATGGGATTAGGGATCAAGCGATATATCATTTGAAAGGTCATCGATTTCTCTTTTCAATGCTTGCCACTTATTTAAATTTGATGAAGTGGTTTTCGAGATGAAAGCGTTATTGAAAAATCTGACAATAAACGAATGTAAAGCGCCGCTTAACTTCGAATACTAATTTTCCAGTATGCTAGCCCGATTTCAATTCTTTCATTCATGAATTACGATTTTGAATGTCACGGAATAAGCTTGATCTGCTTATGCCATCGATGACATCGTAATGACATTCATTCACCTATTTGATTTAATCCCAGCCATGAGGAATCTTATTTGATTTGAAAGGATTACTTCCTTCCTTTCTTTGGAAGATTCTCTCATCCATTTTTTTGTATCAGATGGAGTAGTAGAAAGCCAAAAACTTTCTTTCCCAAATACATTTAGTATCTCACACATTTTTACTGTAACTATTTCGGTCTATTAATTTGCACAAAATTATTTATTGCACTGCAGAAGTATTTTCGATAATTGAACTTTCAACCATTAAAAAAATGGTAGTTGCGTTAATACAACAGCATAGTTTTTCAATTACCAAAATCCGGATGGGTATCTTAAGCGAAAATACGTGATTGAACTCGTAACCAAATTAACAGAGATAAAATCTGTGGCTAGTCGAAGAAGGAACCCTCCAAATGAAATAATGAAAC